CGAGGAAGCAATCCCCGATGACGGCGGGGGAGGCGGTGGACAAGGCGAACAGGCGATCTTCAGAGTCCCCGGCTGATGGCAAGACCTCGGAGGAAGCAGCGTCCCTGTCAGCGAAGATGGGGGGCTGGCGTTGACGGAGAAGGAAGCAGCTGGTTTTGTGTTTGATGATCCAGATCCAAGGGCGAAGGTTAGCATGAAGTGGGTTGTCGTCGGCAAATCGTTCTCCCCACGCCCGCTCGTCAAGCATGCGTTTGAAAGGGCGATGCAGCGTGCATGGGGGTTACATAGGGACGCCCAGTTCAAGATGCTTGGCGGTAACATGTTCATGATCAGGTTTGGCAGCGAAGGGGACTGGAAACACGTCTTGAACAACGGCCCATGGTAGTTTGACTTTAATGTTGTAGCTCTGAAGGATTATGATGGGGAGACCAGGCCGTCCGAGATGATTTTTGATTCGATTGAAGCTTGGGTTAGGGTTGATGATTTGCCTCTGGATAAAAGATCGAAAGCTTTTGGAGAGGCTCTTGGAAACTGGCTCGGAACTGTGGTTAAGGTTGATGTGGGAGAGGATGGTTTTGCAAGAGGAACTCAACTCAGAGTGCGGGCGAGGATTGCTCTGTATGAGCCACTAGTTCGCGGATTCTACTTGAAAAAGAAGCCTGACGATAAGGAACAAACGTGGTTTGACTTTGCATATGAGAAAGTCCCTCACTTCTGCTTTGATTGTGGCAGGCTAGTGCACGTGGAGGGGGTTTGTGACCCACCTGTGGATCCATTGTCGCAGTGGGGAGAATGGTTGCGTGCCTCGCCAGGTAGAGCGTCGTCGAGTCATCAAGATAAGAAGCATTGGTGGGGAACATCTAGTAAAAATGAAAGCCGGGATAGCTCTATTTCAAGTGGAGGTGACAATGCACCGAGAGGCTACGCGCATGTGCGTGATCTCCCAACTCGCAGATCACTTTATAGAGAATACACGCACTCGGGTGACTCCCACACTGGTGGGACAAAGCAGAAGGAAAAGGAGCAGCAAGAGGTACAGAGCTCACAGAAGAAGCACACTGGTGCGGATGGGGCAAAGGAGAAGGATCTACGGCAAGGTTTAGAGGAGAAGAGGGAAAAGGAGCTCAGGAAAGAACTTACCAGAAGGTGAGGGAGGGGGTCATTTCCCCGAGAAAGAGTCAGGAGGTTGGAGAGGGGCAGTATAGGAGGGCAGAGAAGGCTCCGGGGGAGCACAACAGAAGGCCCGGATATTATGTCAGAAAGCCTAGAAGCGATGTGGGGTCATTCCGACTGCGGTAGGACCACTACAGGTATGAAGCTAGAGACAAAAAGAGGCCATCTAGGCAGATGTGGGTGCCGGTAGGTGAAGGGTCTCGGAAGGAAGGTGTTGATGCTCTCGTTGGTGAAAAGCGACAGAAAGTGTCGTCTGTCCTTGAGCGCATCGGTGATCATGGAGCTAGATCGGTGGACCCCGATAGGCGGGGCCGCCGGGAGCAATGAATCTTCTTGTTTGGAACTGTCGGGGATTGGGGTTGGACCCGACAGTTGGAGAACTAAGGGACCTGATTAGGTCATACAACCCAGCGGTGGTGTTCCTGAGCGAGACTAAGAAGAAGGCGAGAGCTATGGAGAAGATCAAGTGGAGTTTGGGGTTCCGTCATGGTGTTGCAGTGGACTGTGAGGGCAGGAGTGGTGGATTAGCTCTACTTTGGCGGGATCATATTTCTGCCATAGTTAGACCGTGGTGCCAGTACTATATTGATGCGGAGATCACCTCTGAGGGAAGAACCGTAAGATTCACTAGAATCTACGGAGAACCAAGAACGGAGCATAGACGGAAAACATGGGATGCACTCCGTTATTTGAAACGTCGGGACAACTTGCCTTGGTTGTGTGCGGGAGACTTCAACGAGATTCTTTTCCAAACAGAGTAGAGAGGTGTAAATCCTAGAAACTTCAACCAAATGGAGGATTTTAGGGAGTGTCTAGGTGATTGTGGACTAGCTGATTTGGGTTTCACTGGATACCCTTTCACGTGGGATAATAAGCAAGATGGAGGAGCAAATATTCAGGTCCGGCTGGATAGAGCCACATGCAATGACGAGTTTTTGAGCCTCTTTCCAGAAACGATGGCCGAACACGTTCTCACGGAGGAGTCCGACGATGGTATCACTGGATGCTGCGAGGCCTAAAAATCATATGGGTTTTAAGTTTGAAGAAGCATGGACTAGACATGATGACTATGAGCAGATGATTATGAGAACTTGGGAACGAGCCAAACGGCATCATTGGGAGTCTGCGGGGATGTGAAGCAAGTTGGGCACTTTGTCTAAGGCCATGCAGACGTGGAGTCGTGAGGTGTTTGGTTCCATTCGTAAGCAGATCAGCAAGCTAAAAACGCAACTACGGGACGCGAAGGAGAGGGCGCTAGTGACCGGTTTCTTTCAGGAAGTCAAGGACATAGAGAGTCAGCTTCACGACTTGTATGAGAAGGAAGAGATCTACTATAAGCAGCGCTCGCGTATTGATTGGCTGCAGTGGGGCGACCAAAATACAAAGTACTTTCAGAATAGGGCTTCTCACCGGAGGAGGAAAACTACGATAAAAGCGCTACGCAGGGAGGACGGTACACTGTGCAGTTCTGATGAAGACATGCGTGCGTTGGCTGCGAGCTTCTACGCCACTTTGTTCAGTTCGGAGGGTTCGCATGCAACAGCCAATGTTCTGCAACATATTGATACTGTTGTCATGGACGAGATGAATGGGAAGCTCAATGCCGGGATCACCAACTCTGAAATAGAGACTTCTCTATTTCAGATGGGCCCTACGAAAGCCCCGGGGCCGGATGGCTTTCCTGCCTTGTTCTACCAACGACACTGGTCGTTAGTCAAAGAGGACGTTTGCAAGTCGGTGAAAGAGTTTTTGCATGGGATTGCGACACCAGAATGTTTCAACGATACGATTTTTGTGATGATACCTAAAATCAACTCACCAGAGTTGTTGTCTCAGTTTAGACCGATCAGCTTGTGTAATGTACTATACAAGATAGCAACAAAGGTTCTTGCCAATAGGCTCAAGGGAATCCTTCCGGTTTTGATCTCAGAGGAGCAAAGTGCCTTTGTAACTGGTCGGCTCATCACAGATAATGTTCTGGTTGCATACGAGTGTGTACATGCTATTGGGATGAGGAAGAGGAGGAAGTCGTTATGCGCAGTCAAGCTCGATATGATGAAGGCTTACGATCGAGTGGAGTGGATTTTTCTGGAGAGGGTGTTGGAGAGGTTTGGTTTTCATGCAACATGGATTCAAATGGTGATGAGATGTGTGACGTCGGCAAGGTTTATCACTACAAGAAATATGTCAACTAGTGACCTTCTGTCAGTGACCCTGGAAGAATTGGTCATAGATCTATGACCATTTCAGACCAATTGGTCAAAAGCTGTTCGGGGGGGCTCCAAACCCTAAACCATTGCGATGGTCAGAAAGGTCGTAATTTCCTTACATGAAATGGTCATAAAGCAAACAGAGCTAGTCTGCTACCTTATTTCTAGTTGTTAACGACCAATATAGATGGTCATAGCCTTGTAAATTGTGGTGGGTTGCTATGACTAGGCGCCACCTCATCAGTTTTGCCTATGTGTCATGTCCATGTGGCAGTTTTTGTTGGGTTTCGTAGTAATTTCAAAAAAATTCCTACGCTCACGCAAGATCATGGTGATGAATAGCAACGAGAGGGGAGAGTATGATCTACGTACCCTTGTAGATCGACAACAGAAGCGTTTGGTTGATGTAGTCGTACGTCTCCACGGCCCGACCGATCAAGCACCGAAACTACGACACCTCCGAGTTCTAGCACACGTTCAGCTCGATGACGATCCCCGGACTCCGATCCAGCAAAGTGTCGGGGAAGAGTTCTGTCAGCACGACGGCGTGGTGACGATCTTGATGTACTACCGTCGCAGGGCTTTGCCTAAGCACCGCTACAATATT